ACACACACACACACACATCTTGTTTAGATTAGTCTTTTAATTGAAAGTTTATCTTGGAAATATAAGATTTCGCCGTTTTTGGCACTATCTTTGAATTTGAAAAAAAAACAATATTTTGAATCATCTGCATCATATAAGTTTTTATTCAAAGATTCATTCTAATTAATTTAAATACCAAATTAGAAAAAAATGTAGAATTATATACAGGGTGTCTCAAAACTAACACATTTTCTTTTAAAAGTCTTTTAAATTCACTCCTATTAAGCTGAAAGCTCCATCATCGCACATCGAATTCATATATATATAAAAATTTAGTGCTATTTATGTGCTAATTTGTTGCTCTAGTCCGAATTTTGTTGCTCCAACCATTTGGCAGAAAATCGCATTCAAAATTGGGGGGGCCAGCTTAAGTTGGACCTCCCATAGTAAAAAATATATATAAGCGTGTCGTATTTTTCAAAAAAACAAACGCACCAGAATTTGTTGCTCTAACTTAGAAAAAATATTTCAGAAATTCATTATTTTTGCGAAATAATATTACATACAGAATTCACAAAAAGTAAAAATATTGAATTTCCAAAATATTTTTGCGTAAAGTTAGAGCAACAAACTAGCAAAAATTTCTGCTGTAGACATTTTTGTTGATACGACGCCTATAGATTTTTTTTTGCGTTGGGGGGCCTTGATATTAAAGCTTGACATTAAAGCGTGTCGGAGACTCAGATTTCAGACATAATAATAAATAAATTTGTTGCACCATCAAATTTAGTAGTAGCATATTCTACAGACTTTTTCGAAAAATGACAAAATCCGAATTTGTTGCTCGTTCTAAAAGCTCGGAAATAAACAAATTGTCGCGGCAGAAAGAGGTTAAGTTTCGAACTTTATATTTATAACAAATAAATTTGTTGCTCGGTCGACTTTGGCATAAACATATACTACAGATTCTGTACTTTCGAAATATGGCAAAATCCGAATTTGTTGCTTGTCCTAAAAGTTCGGAAATAAACAATTTATCGTGACATGACCACGTGTCGGAGACTCAGAATTCCAGATGTTGTAATTATAATAAATAAATTTGTTGCTCGGTCGAATTTGGTACTAACATATTTCGAAAGTATAGAGTCTGTAGAATATGTTAGTACCAAATTCGTCCGAGCAACAAATTTATTTATTATAATTACAACGTCTGGAATCTGAGACTTCGACACGTGGTCATGTCACGATAAATTGTTTATTTCCGAACTTTTAGGACGAGCAACAAATTCAGATTTTATCATATCTCGAAAGTTTAGAGTCTATAGAATATATTACTACCAAATTCGACCGAACAACAGAAATAAACAAATTGTCGCAACAGAACCGCCGCGTAAGAGGTTAAGTTTCGAGCTTCATATTTATAATAAATAAATTTGTTGCTCAGTCGAATTTAGTAGTAATATATTCTATAGATTCTAAACTTTCGAGATATGATAAAATCTGAATTTGTTGCTCGTCCTAAAGGTTCGGAATTAAACAAATTGTCGCGATAGAACCGCCGTGTTAGAGGTTAAATTTGGAGCCTTATACATATTTATAACAAAGAATTTGTTGCTCAGTCGAATTTGGTAGTAATATATTGTTGGTAGTAATATATTCTTTTATAGACTCTAAACTTTCAAAATATGACAAAATCTGTATTTCGTTGCTCTGGCCATTTGGCAGGAAATCGCGTTCAAATTTGGGGAGGCCAACTTACCATTTAGCTGTAATGTTTAGCTTTTAAATTATTGGCGATTAAAGTTCACTAATCATAGAGCTGACAGCACGCTTTCGCGCGCTCAGACATATGATATAACAAGTGGTAAAGGTTTCATCACGAAGCTCCTCTTACAACATCGAGAATATCACAGAAATATATAAAATAATAAGTATTTTAATAAATATACATAAATGTATAAATAATAAACTGTAATGATTTTTTTATCTGAATTGACTGTACCATTTTGACATTATCATATGAAGTAAGTAAACATTGTAATAAATTTTTTGACAGCTATCATATGGTACAATATATCGTTATTAAATAGATATGTTGCAATGTTAGGTTGCGATATTAATTGTAATATACAAATAAATTTCGAAACAGAAATAATTTC